GACATAGCTCAAGCAAAAATTGATGAAAAAAATAATTAATTATAGTTTTATGCACTTGTGAGTTCTTAGAGAATTCATTATATAAACAAACGAATTTGTCACTACAAGAAGACAATAAATCTTATAAAAAGAGAGTTATTGATTATCATTTACTCTTGTATTACCAAGCTCGTGTGTATCACTTATACATATCACCAAAAAAGACCATTAAGAAGAACATAAAAAACCGCAACATTAAAAAAAAAAAAGAATTTGGTTGCCTTCATTAGGATTTCACATGTGACACCAACCAATAGCGACATATAGACCATCTAGAAGAACCCATAAGATCAAACGTCTTATCATAGAAATTCAAAACTCTCAGAAAAAGAGAAACTTGATTGTATTTTATTGAACTCTTTTTTTATGCCCTGCATGATTTTGTTGACTTGCTCAAAATCAGGTATGTGACACCTCATATCAGAATAGAGCTGAATATACTCTCGCTGCAACAATGCCTAGTATCGACTAAATAGTATTTATCTGATGGTAATAGAATGATTAGTGTTGAAGGAAAAAAAATTAGGAGAGTAACTCAGTCTCAAGCGAACGTGTGGGATGATGTGGGAAGTTGTATTTGGTATTTCGTGTTGTATATTTAAAAATTTGACAATCATGTGCACTGTCTTCCCAACTGGTTATGAAAAAAATGAAGTATATGTTGAAGTCACATACCGTCATGAAATTCTGGGTCGGGAACTCACAACGGCCAATGAATGCAATCTTTTCATTATTTGAAACATGTGCAACAACGTGTGTTCCATCAATTGCTTCAATACAATTCTGGAAAAATAACAAATGGTTATAAAAATTGAATGTAATAAATAGAATAAATTATATTAAAGTATAACATATAATACACATCATGCGAAATTTCTATGAGGGTCCATTCGAATGTAGAATCTGTTGGTCTTATACCTTCCTCATTTAAATTTTTTTTAAAAAAATATTTCAGGTATTAAAAAAATGTCTCCTTATTCTTTTCTTTAATTATTATAAGTTAAATTTAACCTACTTTAAATATACTTAAATTACTTTTCAAATGAGCTTTTAAGATATATATATATA